TTCTCTCATGAATCTGCACCACACATCTTGCGTATATACAGATTTATTTTTACAATGCTGGTCAATATAGGCATACATTGAATCACCATCATTCTGCGTAGGTATAGCCAACCTCTAAAAATCTAAGAAAAATTGAATCATTTATTTATTTTTATTATTTGATTTATCAATTGTTTTTGCAATTGTCGCTAAATCAGGAATCTGGAAATTTCCAGAATTTTCCAGAACCCGTTGCCACGTGCCTGTGTAATTCACACACGCACACACACATTCACCCTTGATCGGCTTTTGTTAATAAAGCCATGTGCGTCATGAAACCTCTAGAATACGGAGAGTATTCTTGAAGAATCTGACATGTGCAATACACACAGACACACACGTACAATTGTTTTCAAGCTGAGCCAAGACATTTTAAAGTTTTATCAATTTATTATGTATTCATCTATTTACCATTATCATGATCATTGTTATAGATTTTGAATTTAATTACTTTTTCACAAGGTAAATGTCTGTTTATATGTAAATTCTAAAATTAGACTATCTTTAAAAAATACAAGATTTATTGGCAATGGTATTTAAAGGTCTTATACCGACAGAATTTATTCAATTTTGTAATAATATTGTCAATTAAATAAATTAGTTTATGTTTGTTCATATTCGAAAGTTCCATTAACTCTTGTTTCATTAACCCTTTGAATCCGGGGAATTTCGGCCAAAATATGTAGAACCTATATTTATATACGTCCTCTGGATTCAAAACGTCAAAGACGTTTGTTTATTTCAGTTCAAAGAAACGTAATTGTACAAATACGACAAAGTTAAAACTTAACAGAACAATGAGACAGTATTTCGCCTTGCTTTATGAAAAAATTGAAGCCAAAGGCTACCCTACAAAATATTAATATTTATTTCTTTATGTATTATAATTCTTAAATATCAAGCGTGTGCTCAAATTATGTTTATGTCACTAATATAAGTGCACCTTTACATTTTTCATTAAATACCAACAAATGTTTCATTTTAATTACATTTTTTTCATGAATTATGCGTCAAAATATACGAATAAAATATATACTATAACTTTACTCTTAAGTATGTACATTTTTATTTACTCTCCTGCCAATTTTATGTCATTGTACGTCAACTATTTGTAAACTGAAATGTGCTAGCCTTCGTAAGACATTTGCAACATGCTACTTTTCGCCGCAGTGTTCGAAATACGCTATTGTTCGTAGCGAACTGTGAAAAGTGAATGTCAAACATGCTAGTTATCGTGGGAAACGATGAAACGTGCTTCTTTTCGGGATAGATTGAAATATGTTGGTCTTCGTAAGACAAATGAAACGTGCTACTTTTCGTAACGCACGTCGATTATATATAAATTATAACAATTTTCATTATTTTAACGTCCAGAAATTTTAGAAACACATTTTTAGAATTGGATAATGGTGACACAACTTTGCAATACAGTTTCATGACTCGGATGCATAGTTTGTGTCAATTACGTAATACGAAATTTAGTCGTTCAGCTATTCTTTTGTACTATGCGGGTAGATGTTCGTTTACAGAAATTTCGGAAAATAGTTCATTGTGAAAACTTCATTTCCATTGGCTGAAAATACGTTTTATTACAATACATTGTTAAATATTGTTCCCGTTTGATTACTTGGCGAGATTGGTTACCGTTAATAAATTTGCGACGGGATTGCACGGTGCAAAAATAATTATGAAACGGATAACGGTATAGAGTACGGGTATTTCCGAAAAAGATTCAATTGTTGGGGAATCGATTGGTTTGATTGGCACGTTATTTACGTAACCATGTAATTCCGCGCTCTAATGTTGTCAGAGCATCCTGATTTATGACGTACTTCGTTTTGTACCTAAACATCTTTTATTAATAGTTCTCTGCATTTCCACAGTTCAGATTTACTTTTATAACATAAACATTTATAACATAACATAAACTTTTATAACATAACATAAGATGGGATATCATCTATCATCTCAATAATAACTGTAAGCATAACTGCAACACACAACTGTAAAAAATACATATTTGTGTATTCACTAAAATCAATCACGAGGTAAGACACCTCCTAATTATTGAATTTATCGTTAATCAAAAAGAATTAATTCTTCACTGATCCAAAAGTACTTTTGAAATCTGTTGACGGCGAAAGAATTTAAACAGTAGCCTGAGGCTCCACAACAGATTTTGCGGACATAATATTTCAAAAGATATTGCCCCTTAAGTTAATTAATGTTGTGTGATGGCCCACAACGTTCATGGTACTTGATGTAAGAGACACAGGAGGGGGTAAAGAAAGTAGCGGCGTCAATAGTGTTCGAAACATGCGACGAATAGAGTTGTAGAATAGTGCGTAATATAGTTGTAAGGGTTTTATATAATCAGTAATAAATAAGTGTAGATGCATATAGTTAGTTTGATCTCCCACCGATGCACGTCCAACAATTAAAACCAGAAATAAAAGTTTATCTTCACGTATTATGCTGTGTCATTGAAAACCTGTTACAATGAAACTAAAATTTTTCTACAACGTACGTCTTCTATGTATGATAGTAAAATTATAATACTTACACTTATAAACGCTTTCTTTTTGAAGCCTTCAGTCTTTTCATGCACACATCGATGCTGTAATATTACGGAAATGAAAAGGTGTAAATAGAGAACAGAATATAAAGTTTTTCACGTAGGGTTTAATTTTCAAGAAAATGGAATTTGTAAAATCATTTGTAACTCTTGTTTATTAATTATATATATTTCTGTTTGTATTTACTAAAAGTGGGGTGTTCTCCGAGGAAACACAATATGATAGACCGTTTCGTTTAAAAGGACTTTTCTCGTAAACTTAAATGGACTAAAAAATTTTTTTGAGAATAAGTTCTTTTGAAATCAAGGTTTTTATAATACGTTGTTTGTCGATCTGGTTCAATCTACCGTTTTCATAGACAAATAATTGTGATATTCTGTTATGTTATGATGAACGACAACAGGTGAAGTAATGAGTAATTCGGTGTCGTCTTAAGGGGTCATGCTCAGTCAGGAGACCGAAAAAAGAGTGTTCTTTGAGAATTTTATTCTCGAAAACTATAAGACCTTTCTGAAAAAATGTGTTTTTGTTTGAAAGATTGCAGTTTTTAGATTATAAGGTAATTTTTTCATTTCAAAATATTTATTAGTAAATAAATGGTGAGCAATCTCCCGCATGTCTCTTCACAAAAAAGTGGTCTGCCGTGATCACTGTAACTTCGTAACGGTTCATCTGAAATTAAAAATTCAGTAAGATTTATGTAACGGAAGAACCAATCTTGTCCTTGAACGTGGGGTTTTTCGAAATATTGATTAGGAACAAAATAGCGGACGTTTTACTGCAAAAGTGCGATTTTCACATAAAAAATCACTCGTTTTTGGTCAATTAAAAAAATGTATGGAACGAACAAAAGAATCCTTCGTTCAAGGACAAGTTTTTCTGATTTGAAATAAGGCGCAAAAGGCTTCATGTAAATCAACACAGTAGTTTTCGAGAAATATTGATCAACGATTTGAAAAATGTAGTTTCGAGAAAAACGCGTTTAAAGTTTCAAGTCAAGCTTACGCTTATATAAACTGTTCATTTTTTAATGCCTGTAACTCTGTCATTTTTAATTGGATTACCTTGAAACTTGCACAGAATATTCTCGAGATGTTGTACTTAAAGAAAATGTGGAAAGTGAAAAATCGATTTTTTGAAAATTTCTGACTGAGCATGACACCTTAATAAAATAAGAATAATTTAAAATTAAAATATTTTCTCGTCAGCGACAAAAGTAACGCATGTTGTTCCAAAAAGAACGATAAATATCATTAAGAGATGATATATTTTGGTTTTCTTATAAACGATATTACATAAATAATAGAAAAATGATAGAAATGATTCGTCGATAAATGTCGCAGAATCCCTGAAACAGTAAAAGAGGAATTTCGGGCTTGTTGACGTATGGCAGGATCAAATGAACAAACCACTCAATACAAATCCATGATTCGTTTATTAAGAAATACTGTATTCTTCCGACCATTGCGAAATGTTGGTACGAATATCATGGCTCTTGAAGCTATTACGTTTCGACGCTGTCATCTCCCTGTTCACTAACGTGAACTCGGACGATGTTCCGAGTGATTGGTAACGATTTCATCGAACCGATCGTGCATTCATCTATATCGCAATACACACTTTTTTTTTTTACCTCTTTGCTTCTGTTCCGCAAGACCAAAACGGGCTCGCGGAATAATATTCCACCTTCGTAAAACAACGTACATCGAACGTTTAAGAGAAGTAAATACAACATCAATGACTGTTTTTTTCCGTTGAATTCGTTTCGGATGATCTCCAAGCTCCCCCTTGTTTCGCGGTCGCGTCAGGTCATCGCACCACCGGCTTTCGTAGCGGAACCTCCGAACCGCCTCCCTCTATCCCTCGGTCAAACCACTCGCCACCAACCGGATGCCAATTGCGCTCGAGACCGTGAAATTTCGCGGACCAAGTAATTAAACGATCGTTCGATCGGTCTGCATGCCGCGCCCCCTCGCCCCTCTCCTGTTCCTGAAGGACACCATCACACGATGGGAACGTTGTGTCTCGATAAACGGTTATTTCCACCGCGGAATGATCCCCCACGGTACCCACGGACAGGAGATCTTTGCGTTGGGGAGTCTTTCTTTCTCGCGTGACACCGCTCAGAAAAGACGTAGACAAAAGGACAGACACAGAGATAAAATGGACCGTTCGCTGCGAGTCGTACCGACGCTCCCTATTACACATTACCCTCCGGACAAACGTCCACGGCAGGCGAAGCCGACGGTTACGGGAATCTCAACGATCCAACGACATCAGCGGTTCAAGTCCGTTCGCGGATCGCATTAGCAGTGAGAGACAAATAGAAAGAAAGAAAAAGAGAGAGAGTTGGAGGAGCTGCGTATTCTAGTCACTCGTGTCTTGCAGCTGTCTTGGCGTTTCGACATCCGCGCGCGCGGTAACCTACCGGTTATACCGAAATAGCTCCGCGCAGACTAGAAGGACGAGCAGATGAAGCGTGAAGTACATCGGCGTGGTGGACGATCCTGTAGATGCCAGCGCGTAGGCATAGGACGAGTAACACTCCTTGTAGGACTCTGGGTTCAGCCGTGTGACGGTGCAGTAATGATGGAGGGCGCAGGCTCCGCTCAATGCTCCACCGCAGCCCCAAATCTGCGCCATCTCGCGCGGCAGGGAGACCGTGTTCGCCTTATAGTATCTGTGAGAACATAAACGCGGCGTGCGCGAAAAGATAATCAACCGGGCTTGGCTACCTTGGCAAGATGCGAGCCGCAGAGGAACCGTATCGGGATTGTCATTAGCATCGTAATGGCCGTGATTGCGGTGAAAAGGGTAGACACTTATCAGCGTCAAACCAGCTTTAAGTTATCAAACCGGGTAATTATTCGAGAAATATGGAAATTATGAATCCACCGTTGGCCTAACAGGATGCACGAGTGTGGGGGGTGGGGGCGGTTGGGTAGGGAGTGCCTTACGCAATCGCCGTATCGGATCGTGTAAATGTTGCCGCACCGGTGTCGGGCACTTTGCCACCCTACCGGGGGTACAGGTGCTGTGTTGCAGTGTAACTTTGTCACGAGCAATTTGCGTCAGTCGTCTGTTAGCGAGCTTTGCGCCCGTGGGGGGAGGGGGTGATATTTTAAGGCTCTCTGCACAAGGGTGCACGTTTTACGCGATATCGTGAGCAGGGGTGAGCTTGAAACATTTTAGAAGATTGCTTCACATTGGAGGCGCTTGAAACTATAAAGAAATGTTGTGCGGCGTAATGGATACAATGGGCTTACCGTTTCGTTCATTAGTCATGGGGTATTTACGTTAGTGGACGCAGAAGAGAGATTGACCATTGTTATTAAATTACGACTGTTTATACGTACTAATTTTTTGTTGACTAACTTACAATACTTAACTGGATTTACATAAAAATTTAATTAACCCACTGCGAGTAGAACTATGAAGGACCAAATCGAATAAAACATTTTATTTAGCTCCACTAACCATTTATAATTGCACAAAGTCCACAATCTACAGTAAATCCTCAATAAGTGTGAGCCAGCTTCTCCACGATAAGTGTGAAGTCGTCATCCCCACCACTGGGGAAGGGGGCCGAGGAACCAGTCAAGCGTATAATTTTTTGCTCGACGCGCCGGGACGGCTTCCCTTTCACGAGCCGATGGCTAAACGAGGGGAACAAATGCAACGATGAAACTTTTTGGTTTTGGTTCTTTTTTAACGAAAATTCTACGAACATATTCGTGCGGTACCAAACACAATATATTTACTTATGATTTATCAGAAGCGATAATGAACGAATATGGACTATTAACACTTTCTACATGAGTAAATATGATCCAAATTATGTCGTATTTGGTATCATTTTAATCAGAAAAATATCACCAATATACTAGTAAAAGTTTCATTAACAACGAATCAAAAATAAAAACGTTTCATCGTTGCATTAGCGTTGTATCACCGATACCCGGGAATGTAATCTTTCCTTGATCTCACCTCGTTCAGCCGTCACGTCGCTCGTCGAAAAATGTCTCTTTCTTCTCACTGAGTAGCACGACGGACTCGACGGACAGAACGGGGAAATGTATATGTATATGTACGACGCTTCGTCGAAGCGATTAAATGTCAGCAAATGCTTAGTGAGCTGCCAATGAATGAAATTAGCTGGATCACTTCCAGTCACACGTATTTTTATTATTGGCCGAAACGGTACACACACAATCGGACTGTGTGACGAAGAGAATGAACGAAACACAACGAGACCGAGTAAGATAACGCGAACCGCAGCGAGTACAATGGAATATTGGCCGGAAAGAGATGCTTTCTCTTTCTGTTTTTCACTCGCTTGTCCTTTTCTATATCGGAACAGTAAAAAGGCAAGTTGCCGAGGCTCGAGCTTCGAGCAAAAAACAAATTGACTCCGCGGAATCGAGGCATTCACACTTATCGAGACATTACTGTAATTATTATGATGCTGTATGAGGCAAAACTAATATTTATTAATCCTTAGACAGCAAGCGCTGGAGATGTCGTGACTCATGCCTTGAAATTGTTTTATGCCATTGCACTAAATATTGTGCATAAATATTTTTCCTGTTAATTTTGAATTAGTAAAGAGTCATACTGCTCCTGAAAAAAATAATTGAAGAATAAATGAAGTACTCCCGTGGCGAAGATTTTCTTTGAAATACATACTTGCGAGGAAAACGTCTATTAATGTTAGAATTAACTCGGCGTCCGATGTGTACACGACTGTTTCACTGACCGCTGTCCAAGAATTAAATCTTTCCATTGTAAAAAAACATAAATAGTATTGCAATGTACGAGCAACTGATGTTTTCTTTTTCGTCAATATATCCACTTTGTTTACAATCGATCTCTTGGATTACTCATGGTAGTCGGTATTCTCAATTCGTTATTACGTAGCAAGGTACAAAAGTTTGCTACTTCACTATGATTTATTGGAAAAAACTTAAATGAACTTTCCTTGCTTATGCAATATTACCTATTATAATTTTATTTACATTAGCTACTGCGAAATACTATTATGTACTGCTTTCTTGAATATGTTAAAATGGAGTGAAATTATATTATAAAATGAAAAATTTTTTTTATAGAAGCTTTCTTCTAGAAAATCAATGTTAGGCTAAGAACTTCTGCCCCTTGCTACATATTTTCCAACTGTTTATAAGATAATTATTAAAGATTTTCACGAGTTTTGGGGCAATTACATTCTACATGTATCAGTGATGTAGTACAATAAATTTGTCATAACAGTTGCATCTCTGCAATAGAATTTACATTGTTTTAGAAGTAACCAAATGTTCGGTGACTTGAGAACAATAGGGTAAATATTTTGAACGTTTCAATAATCTATATTATCATTGTGGTTTATATGGGGAGAATTGTGCACTCTGTCGCGTAAAATGAGGAAGTAAAGACTGAAGTTGTTACGGTTATGGTTATGTTCGCGGTTTATGACAAAGTCGAGACGTTTTCTACAGCCTACGTAACCGAACTTTGTTTCAAATTTTTACTAACAGCGAGTAAAATCGAAATTGTTATGAGACGTTTAATTGAAGTTGCTGTATTCATTTGACTTTTTAATTGTTATTACGTAATTTGAAACTGTAACTGAGATTTAAAAAGAGATTTAGGTAATGATAATGCTTCGATTCAGAATTTATCTGAAGACCGCAATTAACGTTACTTTTCTTTTTATATATTCTTTATAGTCCTATCAACCTCTAACAGCAGGGTTATTACTGTTATTAGCGACTACGACTGCATTCAAATTACACTACTATAATTTTGGTAAAGTTTCGTCTGTTTCAAACAATCTAGTAACTGTAGTGTTTTATTCGGATCTGTAAACTGTCCTTTATAGTTGGTGAGTCGATATCGAAGTGATGTCAGGGGTGTGTGGGTACCCGAAACCACGGGATTCCCGAGCTTCGGGTCGAGTCGGAAGAAGTCGCGCGAGATCGGCCGAGATCCCGACAGATGTCGGGTCTCGTAAGATCTTCGGGTCCCGTAACATCTTCGGGTTCCGAATGATATTATACATCCGATATGATACAATACCATATTGAATCTTCAGGCTCATGATATGAACTATAGATGCTAAATAAGTTAACGATTCCAAATGGAGTCCTGCGGTTGGACAAGGTTAATAATACAGTCTTTAGTACACATTTCTTCGTACGTTATGCTTTTATTAAGTAAAATAAATAAAGTATAATATAGTTAAGTATAATTTAATTTTTTGCCGTTAGATGGATAAGTTCTCAAAAATATCATTCGGGACCCGAAGGTCTTACAGGACTCGACATCTGTCGGGATCCCGATTCGATTTATACTGTCGTGATCCCGGCCGATCTCGCTCTACTTCTCCCGACTCGACCCGATCCCGAAATGTCGGGTACCCGCACACCCCTGAGTGTTGCCTATCCAATGAAAATCTATTGCAGTAAAAAATAAGATGATCTATAGGGTTCTATAGTGCTTCTGGTGTTGCAGGTGTCACACATTGGAAATTCTCTTTTATTTAGGAAACGCGAGTGGGTGAATTTTGTATGGCTGATTTTTATTCTCGATAAAATGGTTTGATCCTACCTGGAGAGATCATCATTGATTGTCAGTAGTCGGGAGTGGGGAAAGCGGCTTGGAGGGGGGGGGGTTATATATATCCTTCTTTGCTCCTATCTTCTTGTATATTGTATTTTTGAAGGGAAGTCAAGTTATCAATTATCAAGTGGTGGCGAAGTGCTAATTTTTTTTTTTTAAAAGCTTCATATGCGGACGTTTTTTCATGTTTGTATTAATTAGATTTGATGACCGTACTGACATGCTATTGCAAACCCCAGTTTAGTGCAGACACGATGTTCGTGTATCATCAGTCTAGATAGATAAGACAATAATAGAAGATAGATAAAATAACCAAATAGTCTTTTATCTCGAAAAATTGTATTAAAATAATTTTCAATACTATTATCAAGAATCATAAGTAGTATGCTGATCTTGTGTATTTGATGTAGACGAAGCATAGTAATATAAGTCTCCAATATTTAATACAGACAGACTTTTCTTTTATACTAAATAAGATTCTATTTAATTCCTGTTTTCACAAATTCCTTAACAAAAGATTAGTATGCTCAATTAACTCCAGGCAACTCATAATTGACACCTCAATTTACCCTGAAATTTGTGTGTTTAAAAAGAAAGAACGGAAGAATAAAACATAACGTGTCGTCAGTCATGTTCACGTGTTAAAATGGCCAGAAGTAATATTCTATTTTCCACGGGCGGGTACTTCAGCAATGCCGGAGTCAAACACAGATGATATATAATGCTTGTCCACGATACGATCGCGGTCACGCTTCGCCCCCCCCCCCGCCCCACGGGAGACGAATCGAAAAATTTGTCAGTGCCATAACTCCTTACGTACCTGGAGAACGCGTTATCATTGGGTTGCGTGAATCGGTCGGCCAAGTCGTGAAGACTGATCGCCGTTATTTCCCGAAGCGGGTAGTAGTCGAGCAGAGAGTACTCGACCGACCAGTTAGCCGTCCCATTTGAATTCGCATCCACCAGATTAAGATAGTACTGCGTATAATCCAGGACCTGAATACGACAGAACCAAGGGAGGTGAATCGTATATATTCGCAGCTCTTTCAATCGAGACGTCACATAAATAGACCGTCATGGACGGGCAGAGATTATGGACGCCGGTGGAACGCGTTTCAACCTACCTGGCCGGTATTAGTTTCGAATTTGTACAGTCTCAAACCTGGATTGTTGGGCCCTCCGGGCGTGCTCGGCGATATACTGGGTGCCATCATTATCCAAGATACTGGCAGACCTGCCGGCACGAATATCGTTTCACGAATACAATCAATTCTGCCAATTCCTATTATCTTCCTCACCACTGATCATAACCATTGTGTAATATACTATGAGATAGAGAGACTCGAGCTACTTGTCGCACAGTGGCCAAAGTGGTGAAATTAAGCGGGAAACAATCTTTCATCGTGAGGAATATTCAAATAGTGAGAATATCTAATATTTAAAATAGTGTACTAAATAATTAAAACCAGAACTACCAAAATACTCAAAATGTTCATAAACTTTTACAAAAACGATTAAAATGTGATAACAGTGTATTTTCTGAGATTCTTCGCAACTTTTATTACAATATACAATGTGTTAATAAAACTGTGGAACACTTGCACACGGTAGATTCTATATGCAAAACTAAAACTAAGACGAAAATCAAGAATGACGAAATTACGTTCGAGGCTTCGTTCCCACATTATTGATTGTTGAAGAGACTGACGAAATACTCGTAAAATACGCCTGACGCGGGCTACTTGAGACGTGCGCTCTTCAATTCTTTCACGAGTTGGTTTCATTCATATGATTTTTTTATACTCTGATATGAAATTAGGCCATCGATTGATACCATGTATAAGCTGGGAATGGATTGTTGCAAGCATTATAACCCATCGAGTCAGATGTACTTCACCTGGTTTTTCCGTGTATTTTCAAGAACTAATAATTCGGAAGCGAAATATCGAACGCAATCTCGTCATTCTTGATTTCCAATGTCCCACATTTTCATTAATACCCTGTACAGGGTGTCAAGAAATTACACGTTGCGGCTACCATAGCTGGATTCTACATCTTCGATTTGGTGGAAATACGGGTAAGAACGTTGCCGCAAAATTGACCTCAACCTTGTATTTTAAGGTCAACTTTTTTTATCGTTGCATTATATTCTACTCATCGCTAGGATAAAGAGTCTGAAAGGAACCATGGGTCGGAACTCAACCGTTCTCATGAAAAATGATGTTCAGTTTCATTCACTTTTAAACTGCTTTTATTTGTAATATATTGAATCTTGCAGTCATATACAACTCAGATATCATGCTATTGGCGAAGCAGTAGGGATTTTTCATCTTTCATTGTTCATGTTCCTAGTAGTTTAATTAAATCTGTATACCTAATCCAATTTTATGTACACCTAAAATACAAGTTAATTAAACTGTTCCTAGTAGTTTAATTAAATCTGTATACCTAATTCAATTTTATGTATACCTAAAATACAAGTTAATTAAACTGTTCCTAGTAGTTTAATTAAATCTGTATACCTAATTCAATTTTATGTATACCTAAAATACAAGTTAATTAAACTGTTCCTAGTAGTTTAATTAAATCTGTATACCTAATCCAATTTTATGTATACCTAAAATACAAGTTAATTAAACTGTTCCTAGTAGTTTAATTAAGTCTGTATACCTAATCCAATTTTATGTGTACCTAAAACCTATCGAATATAAATAAACTAAACTTAAGTTTTTAGATTCATAACCTAAATATAGATATATTCTTTTATATAAGTAATATATAATATTTTATATAAGTAAAAGCTTCGAATAAAATTTCGAATAAGTTCCAGCAGCGCATTTACTCAACAATCGAACGCTGAGCGTCAACGACCTAAGGTCGACATTCAGCCTTTATAGAAATAAAACAATGTTATGCAATGTTCTGTCGTGAAAGGCGCAGTATCTTGTGGCTCACAGTCAGATGCGGGATCGGTAGGTAAAGCTGCAAGATACAACGCATTTCTCGACAAGGAATAGACGGAGTTAGTCAGAGTTTCGTCCGCATGCATTGTTGCACTTTAAACGCCGAGTGTCGACCCCAGGTCGATGATGCTTGGCGTTCGACGGTACAAATAACCTCGCTGCCGAAAGTTATTCGAAATTTTATACTTTCAAATCTAAGGTCAAGATGAATTTTGCGGCAACGTTCTTACCTGTCTCTCAATCAAATCGGAGGTGTAGAACTCGGCTATGATAGCCGCAACATGTAATTTCGTGACACTTTGTACATTTACACGTCAAAATGTAATGTAAAAGGAGTAAATATATTTTCAAATACACGTAATAATGGTATTTATTTCTTTTCTTGTTCAATATCCAGATTCAGATACGTGTTACTAAAAATTTTAAATACTAATGTTAGTTATTAACCCATAATAATAACAATAATTGTCAGAAAAAAAATATTTTACATGGAAAGAAAGAAGTTCTCACTGATTTTTGACGTATAGTATACTATAATATACTATAGTATACAACTAAAGACAAACCTGCAATTTTACTTGTTGTATGCAACTTTGACATCATTAAATTCAAATACGCTATCAAACTACATTTTCAGTATAGATTCTTTCAATTGTATTTTCTCTCTCGTTGCAAGAGTTCCCATCAAGTACATTCTTTGAAATATTACTAATAACAAATTGATCACGTTCATTGGATTAATAATCATTTTCACTCGCGGAAACTGTAGTTACAAAGTCAATTCTGCGAACACATCAGGATGTTGGATTCCAGGTGATGGAATATAAAAAATAAAAGTTTAAGGAAAGGGTTTTATTTGTAACAGAGCAATAACAATAAGCGTCGGAGTGACTGTACAAGAATTAAAGTGTTTGTTGTTGTTTGTGAAATTGCATACGGTCTTATATACTATGGCTCTGTCGTTGAGAGAAGATGCTTGTGCATCTTTGTACAGGATGAGTAAGTAGGAGTTCGGACTTTGGAGAAAATAAGGGTGACTAAATTGTTTGGAAGAGAGCAGCGTGGTCGCAGTTACTCATAAAGTGAATCAGAGTAAATAGGTTAGTCATCCAACAAAGAAATAACAGAAATAACAGAAGAATCATTGTAGAAAGTAGCTTTAGAGTAACTTTATATAACTGCTTCTTTGAGTATCGATAATCGGAATGTCTTCACACGTGTACAAAGATCATTTTACGATTTATTAGCAACATTCCAAATATTCTAAAAAGTAAAATAAGTTATAACAACAAAGAAAAGACATTTTTTGAGAAATCAAAATTGATCTTTATGAATTGACCATTATTAATACATTTTCCGAAAACTAAAGCAGTCGGCAGTTGAAACAGCACGCGTGCGCGGGGGATATAAATAATAAAAACCTGCGAGACTGTAGGAGGCAATTTAAAAAAGAAAATATACCAATAGATTGGAACTGAAGTGCTCGTCACTTTTTGTCATTATGTAAATTTCAATAAGTTGTAAAATAACGTCACAAAAATTTTTTTGTTATAAGCAAATGGTATTCTTGACAGTTTGTTAGCACCGTATTATTGCACATAAAAAAACCATGAAACTCGCCCATTGAAAGTTTTTGTGTATCTCCTTTGGTTTTTGAGATAGTACCTCTGGGTCGAAACTTTGAGGTGCGGTTTTACCCTCTAAATATGAAAATGGGCCGATATAAAAAGATACGTGTCTCTTATTTTTTGGTCCTCTAAAACATATCTGAAAACGAAAGCATCCTGAGGGGGTCATCTGAGATACTCTCCTGTTAGATTCATCAATAGGGACGCTGTGCAACACGACACATCAAATCTACTTTATCTCTCATAGACATCAATACACACGACAAAAATGAATTATTGTATACAGCAACTTTTTCAGAAAGCTTCGTTCCTGCCTCTGTTACGTTATACTATTTTTTTATGATTTTACATTGTGTATGTATACACAGGATCTTATGTAATTCGTGGTACAACCGAGTAGGGGGGATTTTACGTGAAAAAACAAATCAAAAATATACAATACATTTTTTTCATTTGAGACTTCGTTTTTGATAAAATCGACTTTGAAAATCTGTTGGATACGCGTGCAATTGAATAGAGGATTTGGCTAACGCGTCTGTTGATTCCATTCCGTTTCTACTTACTGTCAGCATGAATACAGGCGTTACACATGAATCTTCAAACTACTTTTCCTCGAAAAAATTTTTTAGCATCTACCTAACTTATTGTATATTTTGAACTTATTTTTTCACCTAGCATCGCCTCCTAGCCGGTTGTACCACCAGTTGCATGACACCCCGTATATTTTTTATAATTATACTTATACCATATCCTGTAAACAAAATAATGTTTGTAATGCTCAAAATAAATACTCGAATTTTCACACCTTTCTCAGAGAAGAAGAGACGAACTAGTAATTTTCAAGAATGTGATTAAAAAAAAGATGTAGACTGAGAAGAGATTGCAGAGGCGTTAATTCCCTATTGCTGGGTATACAAACGTGTTTATAACAAATCTGAGACATGTATAGGAAATCAATTCTGCGCATCAAAATAATGAAAAAACTTGATTTACGAAAGTAACAAATTAAACGAATATTTTTTTCTCCTACTACGCACTTTATAATGTCATGAATTCATATTTCCATTACTCCTTTCCACTTACGCAGAATCTATTCCGCAGATGGGTTTATAAAAGAGGAGCAAAAATGTTAAACGTCAGTTATAAACGGACAGTAAGTTTCTCATATTATTCATATGAGTGAAATTGCCGTGTGTGAAGAAATTACAACAAATTGTACGCATCACAAATAGTTCATGATTAAGAAATTAAATCTTGAACAACATATATATTTATAGAAGCTTTTCTCAATATTTTCTTGTACACAATAGGTTTCCTACCAATAGCCCAGCTCTTTCGCAGTACCATACAAATATGTATACGCGTGTACGAACATAAAACGGAATAGTTTTAAAGCGCATCAACCACGTGGCGTGACCAATAAAGGAGCTTGTAAAACGGCAGCGAAGTATTCCGTTTCTAAACGGCACACGCGGAGAATTTATTGATTATCGTTCTTGGCTTCTAGCGTTTCCGAAAGATTACTTTTATAAATGGAAGTTGATAGTATGCAGCTCGATCGACTCGTGAAATTTATTTTTCCTCGTTCACCTATCGCAATTTCGTGTGACTAACTCCAAACCTTCGGAACTTTTCAATATAAATACATGTGTCGAAGACATGAAAGTGGTACAAGACCAGAGAACTTCGTGGCGATTTTCTGTCTAAAAATGTTTAGTTGCGGGTAATATGTGGACTTGTAAAAATGAATCATACCATCGATAAACAGAACATGTGGATTTTCATTGTTTTGTAAAGAGTAAATAATAATCTAAATTTTTACAGTTGTATTGAAAATCAACGGCCCATCCTTTACTGTTTATTAATAGAACAAGAACTAACATAAGTAAGTTTAGTATGTTACTAATTCTAGATTATCGAATTATTTTCAGATACCCTTCAAGCCATTTCTAATTCTTCATAATTGATGCATGATTACATTCCAGATCTATATACATTAACAACACTATAAAATATTTTTATTCCACGTCTCTGTTTCACAGATTGATTTCTCTGATACAAAATTAATTTCTATAATGCGGATAGATCATACCCAAAATATTAGAAATTCAGGAATTACATTAATTTTTCATTCAAAGTAACACTTTCATTTTTCTCTAATGAAGAAAATTTAAAAAAATGATATACTCCGGTTAATGGCGTATGTTGAATTTCGGAAAGTTCGCAGTGTCTCGAGAAAAGTGACTTCGTTACTTTTTTACTGGACGAAAGAAAAATCGTTTGACCAGGTCAACACCTACTATATTCCAGATGTGGATTGAATGTATTTGCCGTACAAATTACACGTTGTTTTTTTTTTGGTTCTCTGTGAGAAATACCGACGAAACGTATAAACAAGCACGAAGTCCACTTACAGTACGTTCTATCAAACTTGTAAAAAAATTACATTTTTTCAACTGGAAAATTGTATAGCATCTACCTAATTAACAAGACTTTGCCTCATCAGATGATTATTCCTTTAGATCGTTCGAATATTCTGTTTAAAATAACAGCGAAAACAAAATTCATCTAGAAGTAGGTTGAAGAGTTTCTTTAGCCAAAACAATCGAACTTGCATGTCACTGTTGCAATGACGTTAATTTGAAAATGAAGAGAAATTATAAAAAAAAAAGTAGTAACTAGGAATATGACATAAATTACAAAATATACAAGATTATAATTACACCCTTAAAAACGCTACGAACTTTCCGAACCACATTTTTAATATTCTGAGATTAATTTGACCGTCTTAAGTAAAGCGTACTATCACTCGTAGCACAAGCCTCGCAATGTAAAAAATCTGTTTACATAATATTCTGCAAAGGCTAAACGTGGACGGTCGAGTCTGTTTTTCGAATCGCCAATAAACGTCAATGTCCAAGGCTACAGGCATCGGGACCTATACAGTGAACTGCCCTGGATGTAAACAAATTTTATAGATTTAACCGTCAAAGTGTATCCGTATAGTGACAGGACTTAGTAAAAGAACCGAGGCGCGGATTTTTTCCGTATTTCCGTATGGAAAGTGGAACGCGTTTCTGTTCGACCAATGGGAACAGGTCTGGGCAATGGGAAGAGGGTGGGGGACGAAGACAGAAATAACGACCGCGTTTCGATCTGCCAATGACAAAGTCGCAATAGAACTTAAACCAATCGGGAGAAGGGGGCTCTCGTCAACAAGAGTATCGTGGACACTCGTCGGACACACCACTTTTCTGATCGTACTCGAGGACCAGAGAGCGTCATTGCCGATTTCATTTCGACGCGAGATTAAACGTTTCGTCGAAAATTCCGCGTTATTAAGTTTGAGACCGCGGACGCCGACCACAGAAGCGGACAGGCAGCGGCTATAAAAGAGAGGAAAATGTAGCGTGAAGCGAACATAAGTCACAGGTACGCGACACAGAGGCAGGAGACCCGCTTCGCCAGGTGAACCGCAAGAGTGTAAAAAGCTGAACGGGGCGGTGTGCATCGATTCGACGGCCACCGGTCGATTCACCCCGTTCAGCACAGCCTACGTGGAGGAAAGAATAGAGAGACGTACCCGTGTCGCTGTAAACCACGCGGAATGTATCGGAGTGCCAGTGACCGAAGAACTGGCCGCGGATAATGTCCGAGTAGAGACGGACCATTTGAAGGTACCTGGTGTTGTGTATTTCCCTTAGCGCCACGGCGCCACTCTCTCGATCGTCTACTCCTGGTGGTGTGTGACCCACGATGTAGACCTGTAACATTCGTGTGAAACATACATCGAAAGTAGCAACTACATCCATACGCAATGATTTTCGTTATTCTGGAACAAAAATTTGTTATAGATCCATGTTTCATTTTGTTTATTTCAAGTGGGTTAGGTTCTGTTCAGAGCAGTGCTGTTCAACAATTGCGTGAAGCAGTAATATTTCAGGGTGCCCAGAGAAACAAAAATCAAGGGACTGTAAGCCACGTATTCCCAGACAACAGAGTGGGGTATCAATATCTGGATCCCAAAGACAGAGTGTATTAAGTCCCCTTGTTCGTTTAAAATGACATTTTACATGTTGCTAGAGTTGAATTTTTCACTCTTCCTGATGGTGAAAATTATATCGTTCTAAGTTGTTTAGTTTTCAATATACTTTTGTAAAAATGATATTAAGTCCATATCTTGATCCGGCCTAAACAATATAAAGTCTACCGCATAGAGAACTTAATGCAATTTCACCATTTCTACATATCAAGACTTGTCTTAATTTTATTCAATAGTTCGAAGGTAGCGATTGTTTCTCATTGCATTCTTACCGAACGGCTCGAAAGTTGCAAGGCTTTACTAACTTTGATCAGCTCTTGTCTAAAATATAAAGAGAGAGTAACTTATTACAGTCTGTTTCTGGAGTCCAGATATACTAACGATCGCATGTATTTCCAACAATTTTCTTATGTCTTGACTCACTTACGAAACATTTGATCGTTAAATATAGAGATACTCCTACCACAACCGCATCTCCCTATTTCGCTGAAACGATAGTCGACGTCACTGCCCTAACATTTCCTGTGGGCAACGGCGGGCGCCCGTGCCCGCGAAATACTAGGCTGTACAGCACTGAGTTGAAGGCTCAAAAGTAGGCACTCTTTGAAGTCTTATTTTACGGAACTGGTAAGGGATAATTGAATGAGTGCTTGTGGGACCAATTCGGCAACCTTTTGAGATATAATTCACATTTTGGTAATGTAAAAGGGGCATCAATTTGTAAAAATAGGGCATCGATTTAGAAAGATATTTGCAGATCCACACAAGCCGACAAAAATGCAGTAATCTCGTGGCACTGTAGATTACTCGTCCGGAAAAAGGTCTGAGACAAAAACGCAACGACGATTTTATTCTACAGATGGTCCTTAATCCTTTCGTTACGGAAATGGTGACTACAGTAACCCAACGTCGAGCGCTTACTATATGTATAGTAATGGCGACCTTAGTCACTCACCGCCTGTGAGCTTCTTGTATCTTAAAGGTGTCTATAGTCACCAGTAAAACTTTCGCATTAGGCAAGAGTTCAATTAGATTTACTTAATTTAAGTAATCTAATTCTTTAATTAAGCTGACGTTGCGCTGTTTGCGGCAAAGTTTAGACTCGCGACTGAAAGGAAACATACTGGTGACCAACTTCACTGTAAGAAAAGAGTTAAAATGCAGACCAAAAGTATTGAAACATTTCAACAATTACGGAAGTGACGTAGTTTAATTGAAAAAAATGTGTATTTTTTATAAGAATCAGACACCTTTTCGAACACCAAAGAAAAAATAATGAAGTTACAATTATTATTTTGGTTCACGCTACAGACTGACTTCTTCCTAATGTGTGGTAATTTTTTAGTGAAATGTTTCATAACTTTCCAAGTTATTCACACAGTCGCGAGATTACTGCATTCTTGAAGGCTTGTGTGGATTTGCAAATATAATAATAACTCATTTTTTCTTTACATTATCATTGATCTCAGAGACCCCCATTCAATTATATCTTACCAGTTCTGTAAGAAAAAGACTTCAAAAACTGCCTATTTCTGAGTCTTTAGACACATAAATCCCGTTAACCCTAAAATGGAATCATAACAAGTATTGAAAGTCATTTATGACATAACCGTAGAAGAAAGTTATCATAAAGAAAGAATCAGCTTTCGTCATGTGCTTTAAAAAGATGGTTCCTGCTATGTCTGATTATTGCTTGTGTTTTCTACTAGAAATGGACGTTAATGATACCTGCTTTCCATTGACCTTATTATTTTGTAACTACCAATTCATATCAAATTATTGTGAACAACTAATAATACTCTGATATTTATAAACATTGTACCGATAAAAAGAAACAGGATTGAGCAGAAATACAGGGTGCACCACTTAACACAGGCCACCTAAATATCTTGTCTGTCTGTGATCATACGAGAAATATTTTTTACGTAATTTAAATAGTTTCAAGGGACGAATCGGATGGTAAACAAAATTTCTATGTGATATTCTTTAATGGTTTGTTCAAAGTAACCCATGTTTTCTTACGTATATGCACATAATTTTTCCTATTGCATGTTATAGGCAACATTATTATGCATTTATCAATGTAGAATAATATAACCTTAAAATAACCTTGAACTCTAAACATTTTTATTTACTTATAAAAAATTAAAAATTTACTTATATGTATAATTTTTTCCACCAGAAAATATTTAGATGGCCTGTTTTAAGCGGAACATCCTGTATAAGATAAGTGGTACTCAGGAGCACGTGCGCTCCACAAATTTTCAAATCCAATCTCCTCGGGACTGAAACTTCATACGAGAATAATTCAATTCCACACTTTCGATTTACTTTTACATGTGGAACCGTTGCCTTCTCAGTTGTACCACAAATTTCAATCCACGCTGTAAAAACTACGGTCACTGACCAAGCTCAGTTCGAAAACTTCAGGGTAAGCTTTATTAGAAATTCATGAAGGTTGTATCAAGCTTATCGAACTTTCTAAATAGAGGACTGGTACATGCGTCTGGAAAATTATATTCTCATTACAGTCACTGCTACTCTCTGGATATACCACTGCTTATGGCGTTTAAATTGTGCGAGCAAATTATAAAACATTCGCACACGTCGGGATTTAGAAAATTAAATATTCACACAACTACTATACGTTGTTAACGCTCAATCGACTGCTCACGTATAAGTAAGGTAAATCTCCCAGTGGTTGGACGCGTCTTGGTGATTGAACACTATTGTGAATTTTTGTTAATATTAAATTTTTTTTAAATAATAGCGAACTTCAGGATAGATAATAATTATCTTAGTTATTTCTTATCATAAATCATATAAAAATGTTTCTAAAGCGCGATGTATTATTTAAAAAAAATATTATCATTTAGCAATCATGAACTTGACACGACATGAGTGCCTTAGTAAATGTTTCGCTAACATTGAGAGAGCATTTCTTAAGCTCGTAAATAATAGATAATTCGTGTGTTTCTATTAAGTAAATGTTTCTTGAACTTATGAAGGTCGCCAGAATTGATATCAACTTTGTTTTAATAAAACCTTTTTCTTTTAATGTCGAAATTGCCGAGTTTATTTACTGGTACATGAGAATGCTGATTGCATAGTCCTTGGACGCTTGTCATTCGAACAGCATTGAGCAAAGAGTTAGTGCATGACTTAAAATATTATTTTCGTTATATTACAGTAGGTATTTTTGTATTTTTTATATTAATAACAATATTTAATTTTGGAAGCTCACAGTTTTTTTTACATATTTCATACATAAATATCATATTATTTTGATACACCCATAACCTAAGTGATTCGCGTACTGAATATTCATTAAAAATCACCTTCCTATTTTATTTCTTTCGTTTCGGGAATTTGTTATAATAATAAGACTTTCAAGAAGAAGAATTAAAGAAGCGTATTAAAAAAGAGAAACTAGTAGAGAAAAAGACGATAAGTTGCTGCCAAGAATGTTACAAAAAGTGCTTAAAAAAATTGAAAACAAAAAAAGGAATAATTTTCATTTAGTTAATTTTGTTTAAATTTAATTAATTTTTTTTATTGTTTTATTTAAAATATATGTTTTCTATAAAACGTTTATAATAAACCAAAGTTAAATTCACTATGTTTGTTTTTAATGCACAATTTCCTAAATGTATAAAGATAAATGTTTAAAAGCTTTTACCAAATACATAACATATACATAATAATAGAATGCAATTTTCCCTTGGTGTTATTTCGTTTATTAATTTATAATGTATACATTTATAGATTTAGTTCATCAGTTTTATTATTTCATTTATTTATAATTCTGTTTCTTTTATTTATTGCATTAAATTAAATTTGTTACATTTTTATTTGAAGTTTTACAATATAAAAAAAAGTATCATGTTTTACTACTAAAAATCAGCTATGAATAATTTATTGAATGTTATATCCAAACACTGGGACAGCTAAATTTAATCACTAGGACATACCGTCAATTCCGTCCAATCATTCGGCCAAATAAACGCTTTTAGATATTCAGCAATTTTAATACTTTTTTTCACGTGAACTCTTTCTAATGACTTGTCTAGTAGAAGAAGTTCTGCTCTATCGATTGAATGTACTTTTTTGCCAATCTATGTTATTTTAATATATAAAAAGTCTTCGTAACCACAATCTTCGGCTTAAACGTCCAACTACTGGGACATTTACGTTACGTGCTTTTTGTGTTTATGAACTGCTGTAGCCGTATTAATACTGGTTTGGAGTGTTCCACATACTCCCGTCCATATGTCACCACACATGGAAATGTATGCTACTAAACGTGGAATAAGAAATAATTAGAGTGAAAAAGTTACTCTAATTGTGAAATAAAAAATTCTTCTTAAGTTTGCACATTGCCGAGAAAATGTATGATATATTCATTATTGTGAACAATTTTAAATACCTGTTTACTTAGTCTATCCATTTCATTCAAGAGTAGTTATCCAAAAGAATTTTGACATTGTGACAGTGAATTTTATATAATAATTGATCCCTGGTTCCATTCAAAACAATCTATAATCATTTGTAAGAGTTTGTTAATTTATACGCTTGTCCCTAGCCTTTTTGGAAATCAGTGCCAAAATGATCGATTCTATTAAATTGGCTCGACTATGGATAGTGTTACAAAATATATAGCTTATCATTATTTTGTAATTTTTTCAAGCTACTCTGAAAGACATTTGAGTTACACTCAAAGGA